GTTTGGGAACCCAACAAAATCACCAGTACAAAATCACATGTCTGCCTAAAATTTCTTTAATTCATCACTGAGTCAGGCAGGCTTGTGGAACTCAAAACACCTAGTCCATTATCCAAGAAAGTATTTCTTCCCAAAGACACACACAAGATTTACCAGGAACTCCTTTCATTTGTTTGATCATTTTTGTGTGCTGGTCTATGGCAGAATTGACAATCTCTAATGGATCATCCATCTTCCACTGCCAACTCTTTCCAACAGGATTTGTGTGATGCCTCCAACAGAAAACACATTTGTTCGCGCATGCCAAACTAGGGGTTGTCTCCATGCACCTGTTCCATTCAAAAGTTGACAAATTTAAACTGCTAGTTGAGGCAATGTGAAACACATAAAAAGACTGCCAATATACAAGTACATGAAACTATGTAATATATAGCAATTTGAATTTATAAGCTATAAAAAGACTGGCAATTCACGCTCATTACATAAAGCTTATGTAATACACAACAAACCTATACATTATGAAAACTGTAAGGGGGGCCTTATGTTTTTTTTTTTCACTTCATGAAAACTGACATATAACAGTTAAATAATAAGCAAAAAATCTGCACATAGACATGTATTCACAGTCACACAGACATGCACATATGCGAAAGGATGGTGCAAAATCTGCTCCAAATCTAGAACAATTTCAGTTACCTGTGACTTTCTATGCCATAAAATGAGTGCTTGTAGCAACCTCCTCGACCTCTAAGCTGTGACTTTGTCCATCTACAGATTTTGACACCGCTATGTGAACCAATAATTTTATACCCCTGGATTTTTATCACAAATAAAATCAAAGCCAAACAACAGGATACAAATCCTAAAAGGCAATTACACAACTGAAAATCTTCCAGAAAGAGTTTGACTAAACAAGCTTACCTGTTTTACTAAGCTTGCCCGAATCACTGGAGTGACCATCTCTTTTTGACCATTCACCGTCCCATTAGTTTTAGTCACCGTCACTGTCCTCCTTCTTGAAGGTCCTTTACCTGCAATATCCTCAAGATCAACAACCTCCGACTCCACATCATCTTCCTCCTCATCATCCTCGTCTGACCCATCAAAACTCTCAGCTTCGCATTCAGCACCAACCCCATTACTCAAAACCCCACCATTTTCAGCCACGCCACCCTTCAAAAACCTCAGCACCTTCCCACTCCAAGCCTCAAAGACCTCGTCTATATCACCGCCATCCACATCACCTTCCCAAATTGAAAATATCTCATAAGCGCCCAACGCCCTCATCCTTTTTGCAACGTCCTTTCCCACCGCATTGAACGTAGCGCCATAGGCTCGGCTTCCAACGCCGAAGACCGCGAATTTGCAATTAGAGAGCAACAGTGATCCCACTCTGAAGTCCTCCGCGCTCTCAGCGAGCCAATTGGAGAAGAACTTGGCGTTCGCCGGAGGCTTCCCATCGTCCCAGGTCGAAGCGATGATTAGGACGAGGGTCTCTTTAGGGAGGTCTTCGGGCTCGTAGTGGTTGGGGTCGACGAGGTCGAAAGCGAGGCCGTTGGAGGTGAGAAGATCGAGCAGACGATGAGCTAGGGCTTTGGAGGTACCCGTTTGGGAGATGAAGAAGAGCTTGCCTTTGCGAGGAGAAGAGCTAGGGTTAGGGTTTAGGGAGAGTTTGAGTTGCTTGAGGCGGCGTGATTTGTAGAAACAGTAGAAGGTGGTGGCTGAGAGGAGGGCTAGGAGAGTGAGCCGTGCTGGGACTGAGGATAGGGGCATGGCGGGAAATGAAATTTCTGGTTTTGTTATTTCGGAAATTCACCTGAGTGTTGTGGAGGAGGCGCGAATAAGAGTCATGCCCGCGACCGTGAGAGTGATTCAATTTCAGAGCCGCGAAGAGTGAGAGAGGAAGCAGAAGACGGCGATTGGAATTTGGGTGCGCAAACTTGTTCGGCCCAAAAATATGATTCGAATTTTTGGGGGTCTATTCCTTCTTCTTATTCCTCGTGCTAATAACGTGTTATGCTGATAACCTGTTATATAATTAAGGGAAATTGAAATGAAAAATAGAGAAAGACAATAAAAATTATTCTCTAAAACTTGCTATTATAGGCATTTTACTCACAAATTATAGTTAATTGCTATGGTGGTCATCCACATTCTCATATATTTATAACAGTTTAAAATTAAGTGCCTGTTTGGCATTGCTTATTTGGGGTGATAAGTGATTTTTTTTTTAAAAATGGGAAACCTAGCCCGTTTGGTAAATTATGAGAAAATCACTTATTGATAAAAATTGTTGTGAGAGAAAACTATAAGGGAAAGCAGTTCATTATGTGTGTGTGTGTTTTTTTTTTTTGGTTCTAAGAGAGCCAGTGGCGGATGCAGGAATGACCACTCATGGGGTCATAGTGTAAACTACCAAATAATTTTTTAAGATGAAAAAAATATTGAAAATGAAACGATAGTACTTTCACTCATAATTAATGTCAAAAATAATATTACAAGTTACAATTGTCCACGACGAGGTTTCATATTTTGAAAACGTAGCATTATAGCTTCATTTTCAATACAAGCAAAAACATCTCTCTCAATATAAACCAACAAGCTATCATTCAACCACTCATCTCCCATTTTGTTCCGAAGTGGACCCTTAATAATATTCATGACGGAAAATGCCCTCTCCACTGAAGCTGTTGCAACCGGTAAAACTAGAGCTAATTCAATAAGCAAATACACATAATTGAATGCTAGATGTATCCTTGTCTCCACCATTTTTTTTGCAAGATCACTAATCCCTTTCAATTGAGAGAAGTCACTACTCAAACGCACATAATGAATATAAACCTCAAGTTGATCTTCAAGTGCCAAAAGATCATTATCTTGTTGCGTTGATTCAGCTGCACCAAAATGGATTCAGCTGCATCTTCAACTTGTGATACTCGCAAGTGCACGAGCCGTTCGGTAGTATAACATATGTAAGTGCGAGGTCGATTCCACAGGGATTGGTGATTGAATAATCCAATTTAGTTTTCCTATACAAAACAGAAGAACAAGAAAGAAAATAAATAAAACAAGAAAGAAAGAAAAGAAAATAACTCAAGTAGATAAGTTCCCAAGTTCAATTAGATTAACGGATTGATTCTAGCTAAAGTATGATTAAGCCATGGTGTTTGGTCAAAACCTTGTGTTCCTAATTCCCTAATTTGATTATTTGTTGTCTAACCTAAAATTAAGCATTAGGAACCCATTAAGCATAGAAGAACATTTTAAACAACCAAGTATGTATCTAATCCCTGTTGTCGAATGTCCATACATACTCTTCCTATTCATAGTTCAATTCGAATTAAAGCATGGTGTCTACTCTTAATTCAAACCAAGATAGCTAACATGCAAGCCTAAATGGTGATCAATCATTCAAACTAGCATATTAACTTATAAGCATAATGAATAAGAACAAAAACCATAATTAAAACTTGGAAACTAATTAAACTTGAATACTTAAGAAAGAATGTACATTACAAATAAAAGTAAAATAGAACTTGAAAAACTTAAGGAGAATTTCAGCACAAATATTTCATTACAACAATTGAAAACTAGAAA